TCCAGATAAATGGATATAAATAAGTGACTGAATCAATAAATGAGAGAAGAGACATATTTACCATGAGGAAGAATTCCAAAGTATTTATGTAGTGATTGTGTACACTCAGGGAGGTGGCACATACTCTCCACTCCTTAAGTGTTGTGTGATTTCATTCCAAAAAGAATATGGAAAGGGATGGGGTGGGAAACAAACAGCTTTACAATGGAGAAATCTGACGTTACCTCAGGAAAGTTATCAGGATTAACATCGATGGTGATGTCATGTTGATACTATACACCTTTGCTGTGGTATGAGAGTGGCGTATCTTCCCCATAGCCTGTAACTATAATCATAAGGGACACATCAGACAAGCCCACACAAGGCACATTTTACAAAATACCTAGCCAGTACTCCTCAAAATTGCTAACATGGAAAGTCTGAGAAACTGTCGCAGCCAAAAGAAGCCTAAGGAGATATGTTAATTAAACGTAATAGGATACTCTGCCTTGGATCCTGGAATAGGAAAAGGACATTAGGTCATGCCCTTAGGTCAAAGGACAGACATCTGAATTAGGTCAAACTAGGACTTCTGAAAAAAGCCTGGGTGGCTCAGTGGTTGAGCATCTGCTTTTGGCTCGGGTCGTGATCCCGGGGTTCTGGAATCGAGTCCTGCATCGGGCTCCCCACAGGGAGCCTGCTTCTCCCTCTGCCCATGTCTCTGCCCCTCTCTCTGACTCTCATGAATGAATAAATAAAAATAAAAATAAAAATAAAAATAACAAACAAACATGGACTTTATTAATTGTATAAACCTTTGGCTCATGAATTGTGATAAATGTACCATAACTAATCAAGGGAAACTAGGTATGAGGTATATACGAACTGTCTGTGCTATCTTTTAACTTTTCTGTAAACCTAATACTATTCTGAAACAAAAAGGCCATTAATATAAACTGATGGGAATATCTTGAAAATTGGGTTGCCTACAATCTCCATTTTTTAAAAAAAATCATGTTGGAAGTCATAGCCAGTGAAATTAAATCTGAAAAGGAATTTTTAAAAAGGAATAAAATAAAAAAGAGGAATTGGAAAGCAAGAAAAAATATGTTTCCATACATAAAAAATGCAACAGTATAAATTAACTTTTAGAATTATCATAGTCACTGAAACTGAGTTCATCCTACACAAATCAATTCTATTTTTATTCTTACACACCAACTACAAACAATTCAAGAACTTTTCATATTATTGAAAGATAGTAAGATCTACATAAATAATGGATGTACCACATCAATATTTTTGAAGACCTGATGCTTTCAATTCTCCTTAAATTTATCTATGAATTCAGTGTAGTTCCAACAAGAATCCCAGCAGGTGTGTTTGTGAAAATTGAGACGTCAATACTAAGATTTATATGGACATATAAAGGAACAAGAATAGCTATAACAAACTTGAAAAAGAACTACAAAATGAGAGGATGTGATTTACCCAAAAAGAAGATTTATAATAAAGCTACTATAGTTAAGGCAGATAAGAATTGGTACAAATACAGACACATAGACCAATGGAAGGAAAAAGAGAGCAGAAACAGACCCATTCTCACTTGAGTACTTGAATTAAGACCAAGGAGGTGAATATTTCTGGGTCAATTGGTTATTCATGTGGGAAACAAATGATACCTGATAACTACTTTCTGTATTTTCTTTAGGAGAGGCCTGCTGATTAGTCTAGCTTTTACTCTTCATTCAGTGGTCACTCACTACATGATATTTTCCCATTTGGTTTTCTTTTTTTTTTTTTTTAATTTTTATTTATTTATGATAGTCACACACAGAGAGAGAGAGAGAGGCAGAGACACAGGCAGAGGGAGAAGCAGGCTCCATGCACCGGGAGCCTGACGTGGGATTTGATCCCGGGTCTCCAGGATCGCGCCCTGGGCCAAAGGCAGGCGCCAAACCGCTGCGCCACCCAGGGATCCCCCCATTTGGTTTTCTTCATACAATATATATCTACCTGAAATTATTTGTTTGCTTTTTTAATATTCGATCTTGCTTCTATTGCAGTATAAAGTCCTTGAGAGTAAGAACCTTCTCTATTCTGCTCATCATTGCACTTGGAGTATCTAGAACATTTCTTGGCACATCATAAGTTTTCTAATGTCTAAATTGGCCAGGGAAATTTGGAGTGAAAAGAGCAGGTAATCCCTTGATCTAGCACTTCAAAGCTAAGGAAGGGCTTACATGGTAGAGCCTTGGATGAAGTAGTGGTTTGGAACGTATTCCAGGTACAGAGCATATAGCAAGGATGAAAGGTGTGGTTAAGTGTGAGAGCATCACGAGGGGATTTTCTACGCAGGCCATTCCTATATGCAGCAAATGGTAATGTTAAAGAGTCATTTATTCAGTCATAAGTCTCAGATTATTTGTATTATTTTCTCTTCATTTTATATAGAAACACTTGCTTCCTCAATGTCAGCCCAGGATTCTGAAGGTTTGTACATTCACTTGACCCAGCTCCCAGCCTTTTCCAACTGGGATTGCACAAGCAGACATTACTTAGCACTTCCTTACATTATTTGGTATTATTTAAATCAGTGGTCCTGTAAGTCAAGTGTGTGCTCACCTACTTGTTTTTTGTTGTTTTTAAATATTGCTTCCTGAGCTTTCCTTCTGGAAGATTAAAACAGAATGTCTGGGTAACTTGGATAGCTAGCTCCCCAGATGTCTTAGTTCAGGCTGATATGACAAATTATTATAATAATTACTATAACAAATTACCCTAAACTGAGTGGCTTCAACAACAAACATGTTTTTGTCTACCAGTTCTAGAATCTGAGAAGTCCCAGTTCAAAGTGTCAGCAGATTCAGTTTCTGGTGAGACCCACTTCCTGGTTTGCAGGCCTCTGTTTTCTTGCTGTGTCCTCACAGGGTAGAAGTGGAGAGAGTTTCAGAAGTCTCTTTTATAAGGGCACTAATCTCATTCCTGAGAGCTCTACATCGTGACTTATTCACCTCTGGCCCAGCTCCTAATACAATCATATTAGGGTTTAGGATTTCAACATGCGAATTCCGGGGATTACATTTAGTCCATAACTTCAGGTGAGCCAAATACAGAGCAACTGTGGAAACTACTAAATTGTAATCTAAACCCTTCCTAACCAAAGCGTAGCCCACTAATACCATTCTCATCACCTGGGAACTTATTTCAGATCCTGAATCTCAGGCCCTACCCGACATATACTCAGTCAGAATCTGTTTGGGAAGATCCTGATGATTCATATGAACTTTTAAGTTTGAGAAGTGAGTGCTGATCTTAAATCACTGTGCTCCCAGACCTGAAGCATCAGCATCACCTGGGAACTTGTTCTGAATGCAAATTATCCGACTACCCCCAACCCCCTGACCCCGGTCCTAGTTCTGGGGGATCAGAACCTCTCTGGGGGGTAGGCCTAGTAATGTTTTAACAAACTCTCAACACTCAAGTTTGAGAACCACTGGACTCAAGCCATTATCCTGCTTTTAGCTGTGACCATTTTTAACTTTAAACCATTTGCCGCCCATGGTTTTTAGCACCACGATTCTATTTCTAATGTCAGTGGAAGCCTGGGAGAGTCAGAGAAGAAGGAACCTGGAAAAATCCATGGTAATATGTATGTGTGGAACAATATGCTGCACTCGTGGCGATAAGTGGAGGATTTCCTTTTTCCTCCCCGAGCTGGAGACATATTGAAAGGACTCTAGATGGGTGAACATAACAGCCATATGCTGGCAGGCCGTAAAACTCGTCTAAAGACATCCCCATGCTTTTTCAATAGCTATTTTAGTAAAGGTTTTACTCCCACCTTGACGTCTAAATCTTAAAACGCCTCCACCTCTGAAAAACATTTTTCAAAGATTGTCAGATTATAGCAGAGCGAACAGCCTCTTTCCGTTTATTTAAGGACGCTCGGAGGGCAGAGCGCATCAGCTCCAGGGGTTTCTAACCACCGGGGCGGGGGAGGGGGATGGAGGCAATCCCCGGATTTTATAAACACGGCCAGCAAGGCGAGGCTTCCTATCTTTGTTCTTTAAAATAAAGAACAATCCTTCAATCCTTCCCTAGGATCTATCTCAGAGCCTCGACCCAGCTGAAGGCCTCAGTGAGGTTGTTTCAGAGAGTCCGCGTCTTCTTCCGCAGCCCCACGCCTTCATTTATTAAAAGTTTACTTATTTATTCACGAGAGACCCGGAGAGAGAGAGAGGCAGAGACACAGGCAGAGGGAGGAGCAGGCTCCATGCAGGGAGCCCGATGCGGGACTCGATCCTGGGACCCCGGGGCCACGACCCGAGCTGAAGGCAGACGCTCAACCCCTGAGCCACCCAGGCGCCCGCCTTCACTTAAATACTCGAGCGTTATCAGTCCTTTTGTCAAGGTCAGAGTCGCCGGGCCTCGGCTCTTCGCGACGCGAGTGGGCGGCTGGGGGCCCTGCGGGGCGGCCGTCGGCAGGTGCGCGATCCCCGGGCGGAGGCGGGAAGGAGTGGAGCCCCGCGCGCCCGCCCCCCCCCGCGCTCGCCCCGCCCCCCCCGCGCTCGCCCCGCCCCCCCGCGCTCGCCCCGCCCCCCGGGGGGTCGCAGCCCCGCCCCCCCCACCTCTCGCGCGGGCTCCCCGCGGCTCCGGGCCGCCTCCGCAGCGCCAGCAGGGGGCGGCCGGGCGCCGCGCACCCCCGCGCGGAGGGGACGCCCCGGCGGAGGAAGTGCGGAGCTCGCGCGGCGGGTCGGGGCGGGCGGCGGCGGGAAGCGGCCTGGCCGCCGGGTCCTCCTCCTCGCGGGCCAGCCCCCGGCCCTCCCTCCCCTCCCCGCCCCGCGCGGCGGCCTCGGCGGCCGGTTCCGGGTCCTGTGACCCGTCGGGCGCGGGCGGGGGCGCGGGCGCGGGCGCGGGCGCGGGCGGCCGGGCTCGGGGACGTTGCGCGGGCCGGCGGGGGCTCCGCGGGGCTGCGCGGGGGCGGCGCGGCCGGAGCCCGGGCGGCGGCGGCGGGAGGCGGGAGGCGGCAGGCGGCGCTCATGGCGGGCGGCGGGCCCGGGGATCCCGGCCTGGGGGCGGCGGCGGCCGCGGCGCCCGAGACCCGCGAGCACCTCTTCAAGGTGCTGGTCATCGGCGAGCTCGGCGTGGGCAAGACCAGCATCATCAAGCGCTACGTCCACCAGCTCTTCTCCCAGCACTACCGGGCCACCATCGGGGTGGACTTCGCCCTCAAGGTCCTCAACTGGGACAACCGGACGCTGGTGCGCCTGCAGCTCTGGGACATCGCGGGTGAGCGGCGGGCGGCGGGCGGCGGGCGGCGGGCTCGGTCGGGAGGGGGCGGGTCTGGAGGACACCAGCGCCGCCGGGGACGGGGAGGGACGCGGCAGGGCGGGCTCCGGCGGGGTCGCGACGGTGGCACGGGCAGGAGTAGTGGAAGGACTTAGAAGCGGGCCAGGACAGGTGCATAAAGAACGAGCCCGGCTTAGACGCCTCTACCAAGTCTGCGCGAAGCATCTCCTCTTTAAGGGAGGAGGAGGAGGAGGAGGAGGAGGAGGCCGAGGCCGCCTCCGCCCCGGGGTCCCCTCTCGCTCTTTCTCCCTCGCCGGACCGCAGGTGAAACGGCCGTGGAGGCTTCTCCAGAAGTTGAACTCTGAAAGTTGACAAGCGTGTAAGTCATCGGGAAGAGTTAGGGGGAGGCCCTGGCTCCCCGCAACCGGTTTTAACATTTCACAGAGGAGCACTGAAGTGGAGTGATTGACCCAAAGGGACACTCCTAGTTACTGACACAACCAACCCTAGCAACCGGGTTCCTTTTCAGAATGTTTCTCATCGGCCAGCTTGGATGTGATCTCCTTCCTTCTCTGTGGTCTCACACACGCTCCTCACTGCGCTCCTCAGGATGCTGTTCTAGGCCAGGTACCCCCGCCCCCCTCCTCCGCTGGTGAAGACTTGGGAAAGTTGCTCTTGAATCCTCCCTCCCTCCCTCAACCCACCAAGCCCAACTTCTGGTCCCCTTCTCCCCACCCTACGCCCCAATATGATATCTCCGTGGCAGTGGCTTTCAGGTGACATTTGGGGACGTAATACCCCTCTTTGAGAGGGTTCATATTCTCCTTGCTTTAATTTATGAAAACTTGGAACTCTGGTGGGGTGGGCGGGGTGCGGGCATTTAAAAAGATGTTAGCTTTGGAAAGTTTGAATATGGAAATGATGATACCAAAAGTTACCCTGCTCAGTCACTGTTGGTAAGAAGCTTCATCTGCCATAGACGATTCTTATGGGAGAATGTTTAGAGTGGGAGAGACCATCCTTCATCCTACAGATGCATCAACTGTAGAAGCTATGGTCACCCAGCTGGTGGTAGAGTAGGAAGGAGGGGCCCAGGTCTGTGTGCTAGGTAGTGCTCTTTTCACCAGCAGCTTATTCTATGTGAGAAAGTATTGAATTATAACTTATATAATATTTTAAGAACAGATTTCTCTGCCTCAGATATTAAAATAAATTTATGTCATTTCCTCAGAGAAAGGGGGATGCTCAGCCCTGGGCTCAGCTTTTTCTTTCTTTTTTTTTTTTTCTTTTGGTTACAGAAAACCAAAAGTTCGTTTGAAAAGTCATCTTTTGAAGTCAGAGGCTTCTTTCGAAATACTTCCTGCTGTTTCACAGAACCCTTATGAATACTAGTATCTCTTCTTGACAAAGTCATAAATTCTAAAGGTTGCTTTACCATGTGATAGTCATTCTTCAGGAATCTTCAGTGTAGCTGTAGATTTCCATGAAGATGATTTTAACCGCCTCCCCCCTTTCCCCGCCCGAAGGTTGTTGACTTTGCCTTATTCTTCTTGTAAAATAATATATTTAGCTATTAAATCATCAGTGGGTCTCACTGCAGGGTAATGAAAGATACTATTGGTACATTTGTGTTTTTAAGCGTCATGCAAAAGTGCTTGTTTGGAGACTTGGGAAAATAAATCACGAGTTATTTTCTCTTCTTTTTTTGTCCACTTTTAACAGACCTATGTAGCCGAGAAGGGGACACAGTCTTGTCAGACTCTGGTACATATTGGCCTAGATGGAATGAATGTGCTTACACTTTTGCCTACATTCAAAGGTTGAGCTTTGCCAGGAAGGAAGTCAGAATTTTAAGATCTCCAAAAAGGGATTCCTGAATGTTGGATACCATTGAGCAAGTACACATCAGCTGTTAATAAGATTTGAGGTAAACTTATGAGGTAATTAGAAATTACTAGGCTCACCTGATAAGATTTTCGAGATGAGGTCTTAATATATAAGGAAGCTGACACAAAAATAATTTGGCTTTCACCTGAGGTTTAGGGAGCTACATCATTTAAATATGTTTGCTTTGAATATTTGACCTATTAGTGAATCCTGGCTCATACCACTTGAATAAGTTGTAATGATGTAATAAACGCAAACTGATGGCCACTCCAGAAAGCTCCCCATGGCTAAACATATTTGCCTCATGTAGTAACAACGTTGAATCATATTTAACTCTCAAAGGTGAGAAATATTCCTTGATTGCAAAACAGTAGGTAGGGCTGGCCAATTGATATGACTAACTTAATGTTGGTGCTATTTCAGATTTGTTGTTGCTTTAGAGATGAGAAAGTTGGCAAAGGAATTATATTGAGTCTCTATACTTGGAAACTTTGGCAAGTGTACAGGTGGGAGTTGTCCAGATGTTTCCCGTAAATGTGGTCAAGCAGTTTAAGCCAAACTCTTCAAATCAGGAACCATAGTGACTCTTGGGTACAGGCCTTTCCAATGCTTTCTTATTGCATAAAATGAATGTAGCTTTAAAATCCAGATGCAATTCAATACAATTTTTGTGTTAGGCAACTGTCTCTCATTTCACATCTCTTTTGAGATTGCTCTTAACACATAACTGAAATATCCTAAGTTACTGGAGTCAATAAAATTTTTAAAAAGTTTAATAAATACTACTAAATTAAGGTGTAGCAAGAGATGTCTCTGGGCTACCTTTGGTTGTAGCTACATAGAATAATGCATTTAGTATAGTCCAGCAATGCTTTAAATGGTGGAACTTCTGTAGATCTCTCAATTCCTGTAGTTCTCAGTGGCAGACTTTTATTGTGTCACAGAAGCAGTGTTGTATGTAAGGCTCAGGCCCCTCTGGCCACTGTTTTCATGCAGGAACCACATTGCCAGAGGCCTGCAGCTTGGCCTTTTGTCTTGGTTTTGCCACAGAAGGAGCAAGTGTACCTGGCACACTGGCTTATTTCAGTTTTCTTTACCATATTTCCTGACGGGCCATGCATTTACTGACAAATTTTACGTTCTTGGCGCATTTTGCCATGTCACTGGAAACTAGGATGTTTCCCAGTGTAGAATCTGACTTGCCCTTTCATATGTATCATAGAGGAAGTAATAATTTGCCTTACTACTTATTATAACTTTATTAGCAACTATAGAATTTTCCAGGTGGTTTGAATGGCTGGTCTAGACTACATCTTTAAAAGAAAAAGAAAAAAAAAGGTTCTTTTAGATGGAATACAATGCAGTCTTCCTGTATTCATTGAAGTGATTTGTTTTTATAGAGGAGACAAAACTTTTATGTCAACAATTTCAGAGTTCTCAGCAGGGCCTGAATATTAAATTGATGCCAGATGGATTAACGGCAGAAATTTATTTCACCTAAGTTTTACCTAACATGGGAGCCCTTATAAGAAAATGAATACCCAAAGAAGTGGCTAAACCTAAGTGCTTTTATACCAGGTTGAACAAAGAGAAGGAACTGCAGAAAAATGACTAAAATATATGGGGAGGCTAAAGGAAAATAAGAGTTATTTTATAAGGTCTGTTTGTAGAGACGTCTCTGAGCTTCAACTCCCAACCCTGGTGATAAAGATATTTCTTTCCTCTTAGAAAAGACAGGACATCTCTCAAGTGGGGGTAGTCTGCTTTCAGGCAGAAAATAGGGGAGGTTAGAGCACGCTTCTTGCATCTGCTCTTTTTCAGGTACCTTTAGTTAAAATAATCCTTATGCCAAAGTGACATTTTGGGGGTGCTCTGGTCTCTTCTGTCACCTTTTGCTTTTTAGAATTAGTATTTCTGTATAGAAATCTGTATGGATGACACTCTTTTGGGCCCAAGAACAAATTACGAATATTCTACTCAGAAGCTCCTATAAATATTATTTACTATACCATAAAATGCATGGTTGGAAGATGTAATAAGTTATATAGACCATACTTAGATTCACTTTAAAAAAATATTTATTCATGAGAGACAGAGACATAGGCAGAGGGAGAAGTAGGCTCCCCATGGGGAGCCTGATGTGAGACTGGATCCCAGGACCCCGGGATCACAACCTGAGCCAAAGGCAGACAGACACTCAACCACTGAGCCACCCTGGCGTCCCTAGATTCACTTTTTAGTTTTTAATTCCCATTCTAAGTTAGGACATTGATCCTACTTTCCTTGTAATATCTTCAACATTGGCAACCATGGCACCTCATGGCTTTTTGTTGCCTGCTTTCATAATTCCAGTAACCCTCATGAGTAAGAATCAGGAATATTATCTCTGATGCTTTTCCTGACCTTCAAAGTATCTATTAGAATTATTAATTAAAGGGGATCCCTGGGTGGCGCAGCGGTTTGGCGCCTGCCTTTGGCCCAGGGCGCGATCCTGGAGACCCGGATCGAATCCCACATCGGGCTCCCAGTGCATGGAGCCTGCTTCTCCCTCTGCCTGTGTCTCTGCCCCTCTCTCTCTCTCTCTCTCTCTCTATCATAAATTAAAAAATTATTAATTAAAGAATCATTAATATTAATTAATTAATAATTAAAGAATTATTAATATTCAAATTTCCTCTAAATATGAAGAAGTGTTCTTAGGGATTAGTATATAGTTATTTGTAACCTCCATCTTAAACATTGAATGTTACATTGACTTTCCAATTACCTCATTTAAAGGGATTTTTAAAATCTTCATTAGATCTGACTTTTGTACAATCTTGCCATCCTCAGCCTTATGCAGATTCAGCTGCTGTGCTGAATTACAAATAAAGCCTACTGTTCCCTTTTCCATCTTTAAATCTTCCTCAGTTCGTGAGACCTGAGACACCTTTGGGTGACCCTGTCTGGAGCTGGCATCCACAATTGCCCGAGCAGGATGGGCAGAGTCACAGCATATTTCTGTTACTGTATGTGGAAAAGCCCTTGATAGTGATACCACCATCTTTCTGTGTGTGTGTGTGTGTGTGTGTCTTTTTAATATGTTCCCATTCTCAGTTGCCTCAGTTGTCAGT